GGAGGAGGGTTACAGCTGGGATACAAAGCAAATAAAATGTAAATAATGTAAAAAACAAAAAATTAATTAAAAATAAAAAAAACATGAAACCTTTGAACACCATAAAAAATTTTTTCTCCATAACCTACTTAACTTTGTTTTCTGCCTGTATATATGTTCCAGTATCCTGCCAGACTCAGGTGTTTCCTATATCCACAAGAGCACCAAAGCAGGCACCACAAGTGTTCCAGTCTGACTTCACAGACTTCCATTAAGCTGGACCTGCACTTTCCCTCCCAGCCATGGATGTTCTCATAGACTTTGGACAACATCAAAACAACCTGTTTTTCTTGGACTGGACAGCATTTCAGCCTTTTGACCTCCCTACAACACCCCCCAGTCAGCAGGAAGTAGCCAGAAGAGAATCTATGCCCGTTATTCACTAATTACTAATAAAAGTCTGGAATGGTATGCTTCAGGCCCAGGACAAGTAGCTCCAGGTTCTCCCAGCATTCTTCAGTCCCTACCTTACATAGTGGGCAACTCTCTACTGGCAACCCACTACCCTGAACTTTCCAGGGAAAGAGCTTCCTCTCCTCCTCTTGACCATGTAATCTGGATATTTTTTGCTATTGTATTTTTTTCTCTCTCTCTTAACCCCTTGCATGGTAACCAAGAGCTGTTTCCAATGAACCTATATTTATATACTTTAACTTGCCTTACATGAAAGGCACTCCAAGACCCTCATTTTTTTAAGTATAGAAAAAGGGAGGAATGTTAGTATTTAGGCAGCTTGCTTCTGGGTTGCCTAGCAACCTATGATGTCATCATGTGGACCAGCTGTCACACCTGGCAGTGGGTAAGCTGTTCCTTAAAAGGATCAACCAGCCACTTTGTTGTTTTCTTGCCCTCTTACTCTCTTACTTTCTTGCTCTCTCCCCTTTCTCTGTCATGGCGCCTTCCTCCCTTCCCCCTATCATGTCATGCTACCCTCTCTCTTCATTTCCATCTAATAAACCTCTTTCATATAAAATCTGTTGTGTGCATCATCATTTCATTGGTCCTAATATAGAAGTCCCTGATTTCAAATAAATGTGATAGGGGTACATGCTGCTGACTGGCTGAATGATACTATAAGCCTTCCACCATGCCCATCTGACATTTTTCTTTTATCCTTAACAGCACCTCTTCTGACTGGGACTGCACTCCAGCATGCTGGACCCCGGCATTATCAAGCTGTGCCTCTGTTTGTGTGTGTAGCTCAGCAGCATAACCAAGAGCTGTAACACTCTGGTATCACCTGAAGCTTTGGAACACCCAAGCTTCCATTGCTACCAGTGATCTCATGTTAAAAAAAAATACTCCTCAGCAATCAAAAAGGAGGAAATCATGAAATTTGCAGGCAAATGGTGGGATCTAGAAAAGATCATCCTGAGTGAAATATCCCAGAAGGAGAAAGACAAACACGGTATATAATCACTTATATAGACCTATAAGATATGATAAACATAATGAAATCTGTACACCTAAAAAAGATAATCAAGAGAGCAGACATGGGGTAAGATTATCAATCCTCGTTTAGAAAGACAGATGGGATGTGCATTGAACGTATGACAGGAGTCTACTGAGCGCATTTGAAAGACTCTAACTAGCAGTGTTTTCAAAGCAAAGACTCATGACCAAACCTTTGGCAGAGTACAGGGAATCATAAGAAAGAAGGGGAGTTAGTCTGATGGGGAAAGGATAGGAGCTCCACAAGGACCAAATATATCTGGGCACAGGGTCTTTTCTGAGAGTGACATTCAACCAAGGACCATGTATGGATATAACCTAGAACCTCTGCTCAGATGTAGCCTGTGGTAGCTCAGTAACCAATTGGTTTCCCATAGTGAGGGGAACAAGGACTATTTCTAACAGGAACTCAATGACTGGCTCTTTGGCCTCCCCACCCCCCAAGGGAGGAGCAGTCCTGTTAGGCCACAGAGGAGAGCTTTGCAGCCAGTCCTGAAGATACCTGATAAAACAGGATCAGATGAATGGGGAGGAGGTCCCCCCATCAGTGGACTTGGACAGGGGCACGGTGGAGAGGAGGGAGGGAGGGAGGGACTGGGAGGGAATGAGGGATCAGGACACGGCTGGCATACAGAGTTAATAAAATGTAACTGATAAGAAAAAAATAAAATTAAAAAAAAAACTCTATCAACAGCAAACTTCAATACAGCAAGATTTTCATTTCTTAAAACATCACAGATATCAATGGCAATGAAGTTGGGCACCTTTATTGCAATGTATTTGTCCATAAAAGAACTAATCATTAAAACATAAAAAAAAAAAAAAAAACTAAACTGAAACACTGTGGAAAACTATTTCCACACCCCAGCCTAACACATGGGCCCCACCCTAGGGCACTCTAGCTGCCCCTGAGAGAAACGATACCCTCATTCTCTGTCTGGAAGCCAGTTTCATGACATTGCCAAAACCAAGGACTCCACCAAGAGAATCCTAGGGAGGGTGCTTAATTCTCATTCATAAAGGCAAATAGATAATAGATGTGGTTGAAGAGAGAAACAGGATGAGAGCCTTCCATAGATGTCTTCTGAAAGACTCCATCCAGCAGAGGATTGAAATAGATGCTGAGACTCTCAGCAAAACTTTGAGCAGAGCACAGTGAGTCTTGTGGAAGAGTCAGGGATAGAAGGACCTGGAGAGGAGTTCTACAAGGAGATCAACAGAGCCAACATATCTAGGCCCAGGGGTCCCTGCAGAGGCTGATGCACCAACCAAGGAACATGCATGGAGAGGACCCAGGTTCCCTACTCAGATATAGCCCGTAGGCAACAAACTTTCCATATGGATCATCCAGTAAGGGGAGCAGGGGCTGCCTCTGACATGAACTCTGTTACCTGCTCTTCCACCACTTCTCCAAGGAGGGCAAGATGGCCTTCCTAGGCCACAGGGGAAGAAGATGCAGGCAGTCTTAGAGACTTGATAGTTTGAGGTCAGTTGGTAATGGAGAGCTCCCCCTTTCTGAGGACTAGGGGACAGGGATGGGGGTGGAGAGGATGGAGGGTGGGTCAGACTGGAAGGAGTTGGGGATGATTGGAATGTAAAATGAACAAAAAAAAATTTTTTTTTTAAACCAGTGTATGAAGTAGTGGGTTTCCATATGGCTTTTCCAAACAGCCTTAGTTTTGTAAATCCAACCTCTTCTTCCTCTCCATCTCCACTTAAACTGTTGACCCTCAATGCCAACCACCTTTTGTTTTCTTCCTTTCGTCATTATGAGCCCTGTGGTCAGTTTGTCCCACAGAAGAATCATATGATTTAGGTAGAATTTAAAGATAGAGCTTGGGTTTCCCACTCTCTGAATATCTTTCTGAAACTTCTCTTCCTTTCTGGTGGCGTTGATAGACACAATTGAATTAACTGGGGTTCCTACAGCCATCCTATAATTTTGTTTTACTCTCAAGAAAAATGCTGTAAGAAATGGGAAATCACCCCAGTGTTTTCTTCTTCCAAAGCATCCCTAAAAAAAAAAAAAAAATCCATCTTCTTTATTATACCACTGAGTATTAAAAATTGATTCAGAATTGTGCTATCTGTTGAGGGGGTTAGATAGTCAGATGTTATTGGTAAAATGGAAAATCTTTCCTGATAGGGGAATTTTGTTCAAATTAAAAATTAAGATAGGAAGAATGGTATATTTTAAACATTCAGCCTTGCTAAGTGTTAGTTTTGTCTACACATCTGAACTTTTGGTATTCCTCAGTAAGATTTCTTTATATAGATCCTACACATTTCCCAGTAAATAGGATGTAAGTTTGTTATACTAAACCAATTGTGGTTATATTTTCATTGTACTTCTTATTTCAGCTGCACATTTTAGAACTGGGATGTTATGGAAATCTTTTTGGCAGTGGCCTTTTTTTTTCTTCTCTGTTGCACATCATTTGCTTTTTCCTCCATTACTAGCATATATTCTCTACTTAATGTCAAGTCAGCTGAGAATATCAGTTGTCCAGTTCAGTTCCTGGTATGTCACATAGATTTGTTGCCTCATTGAGCTCTTGGGTAATGATCATTGATCTTAGGTTGTTTCTAACTTTGCCTTTTCAGTACAGAGTTAACATATAAAAGACTATGAATGGGATGTGTTGTTGGCAATCATTTCATGTGCTATTAACTTCCACAGTTCTGCATGGGCAATTTAATGGCAGAATAGAAAAGGGTTTGCTGCCCATTTAAAAAATACATTGACCCTTCTCTGAAAGGATTTTTCTACAAACATGCAAAAATACCTTATGAATGATAGTCCTCCCCCCTCCCCCTTTGAGAAATATAGTTATTTGGTCTAACTTTAAAGAAAGAAAGTACTGTTAAAACAAAACTAGAAATAAAATGGTAACATAGGAATGAAGATCTATGGTAGAATGCATGAGCATGGATCTGAGTTTTATCAGCAACACCATGCACAGACACACCCCAAATAAAATTTTTAAAAGGCTTTCGGATAACACTTCAGGCTATCATTAAAGCCTAGTCATACATTAAGATCTGGAAATGGATTTACTTGTTTAAAGTAACAAAGGATATTAAAATTAAAAGTAGTACAAACACCAATCCCCATGTCTTTAAGCATGTGACTTTTGTCCTAAGTGTTATACTAGGTTGGATCCCCACAATTTTCCATGGAAATACTGAAACTCATTGTAGATTTCAGTGCATCTCTAGCGTCTAACAGGAACTTAATATTTGTTGAAGAGAATATAGTATTTTTTTTTCAGAAAAAGGATCTTAAATCTTAAATTGAGTTTAAGAAAATAAGGAATACAATTAATCACATGTTGTCCACAGTGGGGTGTCTGAGGGAGGGTTCCTAACACAATGAATGTCATCTAATGCTATGCATAACACAGTCTCCTACCAACCAATTACTGTTAACCAAAGAACTCACAAAAACAGACTAACAATACTTTATTGTCACTATTATTAAATGTATTGAATATGCCTTTGAAAGTGAATGTCCTGTCCCTCTGGTGAAACAGGGTTCGTTATTACAAAAGAAAATGAGAAGGTGACACATTTAAACAAAGAATACTTCTCAAATACTACACTCTCTTAATTTATATGGACCACAGGTATTCTACAAGCTTTCTACTAAATAAAGAGGACTGAACATTGTGAGTTTGTTGAGTTTGCCTGACATTTGTTTAAAAAGAGAAAATATTAGCATCCTGGAATAAGTTCCATTCCTGGTCCACTTTCTGCCCACTGAAAGAAATTACACTGCTTTTCTTTCTCAAAGGGACATACAAAAAATTTCTTCCCATTATTAGGTCCAATCTTCAGCACGGTTCTCATAATGGAGCGCTTGCCATGTCTGCAGAATGGGAAGAACAAGTCGGCCCACTAAGGGAGAAAGAAAAGGCGTTATAAAGAATACATGAAGTGACAGCGCTGAACATGCGGGACTAGCCTCATTTGATGTGATACTGATTGGTGACTATCAATTTGGCATTGTGAAACAGAAACTATTAGTTGCTGCACTTTGAAAGAGTCAAAGAAGCCTTTTATTTGCAATTTGTTTGAATCACATCATAAATTGCCCAAATTCCAAGCTTCACTTCATCTAAAGGCATATAAATTTCCTTCCTTTATCCAGAGTAACTGAAAACTACCAGAGCCTTGGTATTAAGCTGTCACCAGTGTCCTATCTATATGTCTGTTTTAGGTAAAATATTATCAAATATTTGTTTTAACTGTAACACTAAATTCTAGTAGTCTACTAGACAAAAGAAGGTCCTAGCAGGTACTTGCACAGACTAAATTAGGCAAATGCCAGTCTGCTCTTAGTATTTGGTCTCAAGACAGAAATTAAGGGAGCTGTGATAGTATTAGAAATATAAAATTACTAATATTTTTCCATTATTTAAAATAGTTTTTAAGAAAATCTGTGAATCTAGTATGAAATAAGTTTATCTTAAGTGTAGGACCAAAAGTCATCGACTTTCACGTGGGAATGTCTTTAAGAAGGTTTACACAATGGGAAGAGAAACATTTTATTTCTGTCATTAATATTATTTGCTGATTTAACACCCATGCTTTACTCTGAATATTAATATAGCCATTTAAAATGGAAAGGCAAACCCAGGCATACTGGTATGTCATTGTCATCCTAGTACTTGAGAGGATTCTATCTCAAACAAACAGACATACAAATAAATAACTGTGAAAGCAAAACTGATTATTTGCCACACTACAATAACCAGAATTCACTTGAACTACAGTAAGCATGTGGAATTTTATACATACTTCAAAAAATCCACACCGTGCTTCTCTGGGGAGAGGACAGGCATAAAACTGCCTCCACTTGTTTTCTCCATTTTTCCTCACAACTCGGAGAACACAAAGGCGGCTGTGCTTCTTACACCGAGGAACGCCAGTATTTACAGAGTGAGTATCATGTGTTGTCTTGGCTTGGGGTTCACTGTAATGACAGGGAGCACAATAATGGTAGGAGAGCAGCACGGAAAAGGTCACTCATGCCACTTTGCCTCATCCATTTAGCGTTACACCTATAGGAAGGCATTATAGGTTATTAAATTCTGAATTTTTTGATTCCTTGGGTAATCCTAATTGATTTGTAAACTATGTGTCAAAGGCATAAACCTTAAATTTCTGAATAAAAACAGCTGAGTTTGTAAGTACTATATCAGATTTTCTTAAGTTTTCACTTCTGATATTCATTTCTTCCCTTACCATGTATTGTAGTATATTCACTTTTATTTCCTCTAAGGTATTCTCAAGTCTACTTGGACCCCATCTCACAAAGCAAGCAGGGTAACAATCATCGCTAATTATTTTCTCATCTGCGGAAACTCTCATCAGTGCCCTGAGGAGGCCATCTTTTGAAAAGCTATTGTCCAGTTAAAGACAATTTTCTATGCCTTCCTTTGATCAAAATTACTATTTTCATCACAATAACATTCGAGTAAGAAGCAGGCTGCTTGGAAGAGAAGAAATGTACATTTTATGAAGTTTAGCAGGTGGGTTTCCTCTGTGTACAATTAACAGGAGTGTTTGAAGGTCGTCTCTGCACACAGTGAAGAGAGCCCAGGAGCTGATCCTGTCCTTCGGGTGTATATGCAGTTTCATTATAATTTTTAATTTTCTATATCTTGTATGTTTTAAATAATATGTGTGGACGGACCAACCAGTTCAGAAGAAAAGTATTCACGGCAATGAAAGAAAAGGGACAGGAACTTATCTCAGTTTTAGATGATGCACTTAGCATGTATAAAGTGGGTTTGATTCCCAGCACCAAAACAAAACAAATGCAACAACAAAACAAGGCCTGAACCTCTCCATCAAGTCCCTATGTGTAATTCTCTTAATATAGAAAAGTTCTATTTTCACATTGGGGGATATTTCTAAAATAACAACAGTAACAATTTTATTAATTACCTCAAGGTCACGAATTTTTCCTGAATATTTTCCTTTTCTCCTGGCTTACAAGACTAAATTTTGTAACATTTGTTTCAATAATGATGCTCATAAAGACGCAGCATATCTAACTGGAATGTTCAGAGGATATACTCATTCACTTGTGAGGAAACTAATTTATATTTTATGAAAGATAAGATTAAATACATTACTTTAAAAATATCTGCTGCCATAGACCTTAGGGAATCTAATACAGTTTTGAAAGCTGCCATTTGTAATATTGGAGTAGCTAGTGGGATTGCAATGGACAGTATTTTCATTAAATATTTCACCAGTAACTATTTTTGTTGTTTCTCTCTTCAGAGTGGTTGGTAAGTGATCTTATATCTTAGAGAGATGGGTCACACCAAATCAGGAATAGAAAATCTGGAAGGCAATGGCCAGGCTTTTGTTTTCCACAACCTCTCTTCCACCAATGATCTGCAGATTCAAAACTGTAACTTTAAGACAAGCTAAGTATCCAGGTGACAACAGAGAAGTCAAGAGATTTGAAAATAGAAATGGTGTCCTAAACAGTATAAAGCAAAATTCAAGGGAGAAACAAAATGAAGCTAAGTGTAGTAGTAGAAATTAATGAAAAGGTGCATATTAAAGTGTGCAAACATAAATACACAGTTTTATATGTACTTTTGATGGCCCTGGTGCGTCAGGCCTGTAATCCCAGCATCGAGAAGAATGAGACAAGAGATCTGTCTTCTCAAACGCAGCCTGGTAAGCCTGGCAAGAGCTTGTCTTAAATACAGAAGGAAGGGCTAGGGATCGAGTTCCACAGGCTTTGAGAGGAGCCTGAGATTAAAATACTAAAAAGAGAGCAATAACAACAGCAGTAAAAAAACTGAAACAATGTTACACAATGTTTGAAGTGTTAAACTTGGTAACTTTTAGTTCAACATTTCTCAGTTCACTTGCCTTATATTTTATCCCAAAATTTCACAGACTTAAGAAGAGATTTAGTCTTTACTATTGTAGCTTATCTGAGGAACAAAGGTGGGGGGGTGGGACTCAAGAGGAGAGGCTCCAATGCCTTGCCTCTTCTTCATTGTCTTCCTTTAGGTGTCTTCCCTGGCATAAAGGTGAAGACAAAACTGTCTATATGTTGTCCTATCCTTGGTACCTACACTGTGTTCCACTAACTAGAAACATTATTATCACCCAGGGGCTCCTCAGACTCACTGAACTACCCACCCCTTCCTCCAAATCACTTTGGAATCAGCATCTGCTTGCTAACAAGATTCCCAGGTGATTCATATGCACATTGAGCAGTGAAGGGCTGAGTTAATGTAACCAAGAGTGCCACCTGTGATCACATCAGCTCTAAATATGCATAAGCTACCCTCAATTTTACCATAGAAAACATTATCCCGGCTAATGAAATGTTCTGCTTCATCGAGGATACCTTGGTTCCTCTTTGTTTCAATTACTATTTACAAACTTTCTAAACTGTAGCAGAGCATTTTCCTAGGTAAATTTAGGATTAAAAAAAAAAAAAAACAAAACAAAACAGTTGAACTAGTTTGGTGAATTAGGCTCATCATTTGAATATTGGTTTATAAATGGCATAGTAATAAAGTAGACCAGGATTTGGCAAAACCATTTCAGACAACACGTATTTTAAGCTTGTGCGTCTTTATGGCAACTAGTCAATTCTGTTGTTTTTAATACAAAAATAACTAGACAAATGGAAATGAAACATTACACAGGTGTTAGGCTAGATCTGGCCTTGTTGGCTGTAGTTTTCTGCAGTAGACATCATTGGAATCAAGGACAAAGACTCAGGCATAACAAGTTCTCAATAAATAGTAAAATGATAAAATTGCTGTCTGGTACGTGCAAAACACATCTTTAGCACCTTAAAAATAAATACATTAACAATAAAAAAAATCATATATTGATTCAAAACTATCCTTGTTATGACAAACTGCTCTATTATCAATAACTAATTAATTAATAAGTTATTGATTTTATATAACATAAATATACAACTTATATTGGATTTTATATAACTTATATTGGAACTAGTTACTGGCTTAATCGGTCCAACTGAATGTGGATCTGACCATCCAACATTATTTCAAAGATTAAAGTAAACCGAAATTTAATAAGTGAGGCACTGAGAACTCCAAAGGTGAAGCAGCACAAGGGTAAGGACTTGGAGACAGACTGACGAAGCAGACATGGGAAAATGGGAATGATTTCCGAGGTGTCCTTTTACTGTTCCCCGTGACCCTCTGCATGGTACTCTAGCTAGAACACATGGCTTCTTTGAAAATGTACCACGGTTCTTCTGTGTTTACAGTAATTAGATCAAAGATTTTAAACTCATTTTAGAAGCTATTGTTAACTGCTTAAAAATTGGTTCAATTATCTAATTTATCATCTGGTAAGTGAATAACATTCAAGTATATTTAGAGACCAATCCAAAAATAAGCCTTGTCAAGTAGCATGCAACAGCATAGCAAAGAGATCACTAATTAAGGGAACAAAAGTCAAATTAATTACCCTATGATTACTAAAGAAAATAAACTGGCTATAAATTCTGAGTGGACCACCTGTTTTAACAGTGTTTCGTGGTGAACTTCTGGTAAGCATCTTGTCCAGGAGATGAACACTCTAGCTGCCAGACAAGGAGAAAAAAATGAAATAAATGACAGTAATTTGCAATTTATTCCTTGTAAAGTAGCTGGGTGCAGAAGGGCTGCTGGGTGAATTCATTTCATCACTTGACATTTATTCTGCTACTTGATCTTGATTGATTGTGGAGTTTCATCCCGATGCTCTTCTATTCAACACACACACACACACACACACACAGCTGTAACATTTCTAAGCAATGCTGTGCACTGTGATTAATCATACGATTCTACTGTTAATGGCTTATGAAGAAATCATTTAAATTTAAGGTTACATTAATGATTTTTTAAATTCTTAATTCATTAGTTAAATTGTCTTTTTTTTAATAGCATGAAAGAAATAAAAATATGCCAGATATTTCATCTGGGTAACTTTAAAACAAGTACTTCTACTTCCTTCCAGTTATGCTGGTGAAAAGAAACATGATTAAAAGCAATTTTCTTCTACAGGACGGCCTCGCAACTCAGACTGTAGCGCTTCCTGATTTTTATTTTGAGGCACTAGTAAGAACTAGAGTGAAAAGATGTATTTATCTAGTCAGTTAAAAGTTCAGGCCGCCATAGCTTAGTTCAAATATATCACAAGCTACAGTTATACTAGTAGTGTTAAATGATTATGAACAAAATATTTTTAAGGGTCAAAATCATCAGGATTAACTCATGATAGAAGATTTAAAGGCAGGATAAGATGTTGTAAATAAATGCACATACTGGGCAAAAAAACTGTCTGAGAATTGTTATGAAGCAAGCTTTAAGGATTCCCAGAGTGTGGATTACACCAATTGCCTGCAAATTTCATGATTTCCTTGTTTTTAATTGCTGAGTAGTATTCTACTGTGTAAATGTACCGTAATTCCTGTATCCATTCCTTCCTTGGTTGAGGGACATCTGGGTTGTTTTCATGTTCTGGCTATTACGAGTAAAGCTGCTACAAACATGGTTGAGCAAATGTCCTTGTTGTGTACTTGAGCTTATTTTGAATATATGCCTAGGAGTGGTATAGCTGGATCTTGAGGTAGCACTATTCCTATATTTCTGAGAAAGTCCCAGATCGATTTCCACGGTGGCTGTACAAGTTTACATTCCTACCAACAATGGAGGAGGGCTCCCCTTTCTCTACATCCTCTCCAGCATGTGTTGTCACTTGAGTTTTTGATCTTAGCCATTCTGATGGGTATAAGGTGAAATTTCAGGGTCATTTTGATTTGTGCAGATGAGACCTGATAGGCTAGGGTCAGATAGAAGGGCAGGAGGCTCTCCCCTATCAGTGCACTAGGGAAGGGGCATAAGGGGAGAAGAAGGAGGGAGGGTGGGACTGGGAGATGAGGGATGGTGCTACAGCCAGGATACAAAGTGAATAAATTGTAGTAAATAATAAATCAATTTTAAAAAGTTCACAACAGATGGTCCCTCATCCCACTGTTCAGTGGAGAAATCTCTTCATCAATAAAGCATAGATAAGGAACATCTATTAATCAAATTCCCCTATAAGTACTTCAGGTTCCATGGTAACTGTCTTCCTTTGGTAAGAAAAGACATTATTCATTTTATTTACTCTTCATTTAAAATGCAACAAAGGGTCCGTGAAATGGCTCAGTGGGCAAAGGGTGCTTGCCACCAAGTCTGATTACCTGAGTGCAGCACCTGGAACCTACACAGTGGGAGCTGAGACTTTCGTAGACTGTCTTCTGACCTCTGCATGCCACCCTACCCCAATACATGCATACCTCTAAAAATTTAAATTCTACGTATGAGTGTAGCAAATGAATTGCGGTGAAGACATTTGCAAAAACCACTTGTGGCGATATGTCTTTTTCTGATGGATGCTTACTGGGCTGTGACAGGAAGCCTAGGTAAGGAGAGGGAATGAGGCTAGTAAGGGTGATCAGCAGAGGCTGGCTGCCATACTCCTGAAGCAAAGGGGGACGCCCCACTTCTTACAGCTCAGCTATCAGTTGGGGATCTTCTCCTGGCCCTGTAGCTGATGGCAGTTTCATGAAACACATCTGGCATGTATAGTACTTAACAGGAGTTGTAATCTCTCTTTTTAGATATAAAATTATCATGGATGCTCTTTGAGAAAATTTGGTTAAAACAGAAGAAGAAAAATTCCACATCACCAAAGATACAGCCAGCTTTCTGACTTTCTGTAATAGAAATGCAACAAAGGGTCTCAGGTTTCGCTTTTTTAAAATAGAAGATGCACACTAAACTTTTGTAGATAATGGTTTCCCTCAGAACTTTGCTTTTCTAGGAAGAAATGCAGATGTGCCACTCACAATGCTTTGACTTTTCCATGGTGTAAAAGAAACTGGTACATAGTAGAAGCCAGGGCTCAAAATTTTGGTCTTTACTCAAGCTAGTGGCATACAAGCTAATGATTTCTCTCAATTATTGACAAGCTTTAACTCCCAAAAAGACACATGACATGAAGGAGAAAACTGGGACCTTACAGTGCCATGTTTTGCTAGACTGATGTTAAGAAGACTGAGTGAAGATAGTGAATTTTCAACTTATGACAGGCTTATTGAGCTATGACTACCTTGGAAATCAAGAAATATCTGTATATAAGATATCAGCAGATAACTGGTATGACTATGGGTGCTTTAAAGAGTTTTCTATATTTTCTGATATTTTCCAAATATGTCATATTGAACATATGGTTGTATTCAGGAAAAGAAGGAAAAAAAAGCTTGTTGGAGATAAGGGAAAATATGTTCCATTTCTTTTCTGTGCTAACATTAATTAGCTAGAGAATGAAAAGCAAGCAAATTGTTATGATAATTTTTCAGGGCTTATGTTACTAAAAGCAATTTAACTTCCTTTGCAATGGATAAATTTTCTACCTGCTTTGAACCTGATGCAGTACATTTGTATTGTCTGTATTGCTTTACAGATTGTAAAAATACTAAGGTGGGTGTTGATGGTGCAAGCCTTTAATATTAGTACTCAGGAGGCAGAGGCAGGTGGATCTCTGTGAATGACTTCCAGAGCAGTCAGGGATACACAGGGTAACCAGGTCTTGAAAAACCAAACAAGCAATAAAATCAAAAACAAAAACAAAACCTTTAATGCAAATACTCTAAAGACCAAAATTAGAAATACCATACCTGTTAGAAAGTCCAGAGTTGTAACTGCTAAGGTCTGTTGCCGAAGAATGAGCTGTTTTCAATTTTTTATGTGCTGAACTAAATAATTTAGACTGGGTACAAACTGTAGGTGATATGTTTGCCTTGTTGGATTGTTGAGTTATGTAGTTTATTCCTTCTCTGGAGAGGTGCTGTGGATCACTGAAACACAGGTCTTTAGGAGGAAAGTTTTGAAATTCCCCACCTATTATCTGGTTTGGGCTTTCCTTTCTGGCCAAAGTACTGGATCTATTGCTGAAATCAGTCAAGACAAGGGTCATACTTCCAAATACAGTTTTCCTGTTGATCTTCAGTTCTGTATGTGTCTTCTCAAAATCATTACAAGGGTACTTCACTAAGCTGTTAGAGGCAGTGAAATTCTTTTCACTCCTAAGCACTGAATCTGGAAAAAAAGATAAGTAATTTTACAGTATTCCTAAAAATATAACATATACTGATTATTTGAAAGAGATTTGATTTTAAATTTTAGTTCATTACAGTAAGCAAATAGGCACAACCTGGAGGTGGCTGTGATGCTCACTTGGACATGAGGTAGTGAGTCATCTTCAGCTTAGGAAATAAAACATCAACAACCGATAGGAACTGAAAGGTGGTGTTAATAACAATTTACATTTGCCTTTTGATGTTTAAATATCTAAAGACTAATCAGCTAGCAGTTCTGTTAATAGTAGGTGAAGCATTAAACAGTGGTAATTAAGAATAATATCCCACAAAGCCTCGGCTTGGCAGCTAGAGACTAATGTATGGACAAGAGTATCTCTCTGACTGCAGGACCAAATGAAAAGTTTCCTTAACATTAGTAAAAAAGAAATATGGACCCTTTATGTTGGTGAGAATAAAGGCTTCAACAAATACCCTAGAATTTTGGAATCGGCATCATAATATGATCGATATTATAGGTAAGACATGTCTTCACATACAAAAACTGAAAACAATAGTTAGTGAGACACATAAAGGCATTACAGAATTCTGAAATAAATGTAGAAATCCGAGACTGATTTTCAGCAGCTTCTCTCTTGGGTGATACTAAAGGAGGTGCAGTCCCTGCGACTTAGCAAAGCTGTTGGAGGGGTGATGGCTGCCTCTCAGGCCCGGGGAACACAACACAATACAGCCGCTAATACAATGCAGGGGTCCTTAAGTCAAGAACGAACTTTCTCATCTCTAATTGGGGAAAGAAATAACACTCTGAGAACACAATGGAAGCTGCATCAGTGAGATGGCTCTTAATCACAGGTTTCCTCTGAGGTTTTACATTCTCTGAACGCGCGAGGATTGTGAGCTGTAAAGAGTTATTTTGAAGGATTTCAATGAAATCAGTACAATTGTCTGGGTAAAGATTTTAATAACAAGGGGTAGGAAGGAGAAAGAAGAGAAAAAATTCAGCATTTTTCAATTCCACCTGCAAAGACATTCTTACAGAATTCCTCCCTTTCAATTTATGAAACACTTGGACTGAATAACAAACTAGAAAGTTGCTGAAATCTGCATAAAACAAAGCTTTATTGAATAATTCATTAGAAACAGTAGAGAACAGATGTGATCATCTCAGTGTTTGAGATACAAAGGCACATACTGTTTTAGGAAAAGCATGTTTTCCCTCTCTGCTTTTTTTTTCTTTCATTTTTTTTTTTTAATATTTTCAACAGACTATCAGCCTAGTTTACAAGAAAAGGCTGGCGATTCCTCTAAACATGAGACAGAAAGCACTTCATTTGGTTATGGACTATCAAGGTAGAGCACAATATCTACTTGCCTAGACAATAAATCCTCTTACAAGTTTTATGAACTCAAAACAAAATGTCATGCTTACCAACAGGCCTTGCGGTCAAGCAAGCATCACAGGCCTTAGCAGAGGGTTGGTTTATGAGGGTACAAACCACACAGGACCACTGCTCTTCAGATTTCTTAGCCACTGAGTCTGGAAGGCAATCCTCTCTCCTAGAAGTCCAGCTGATTGCAGCATTTCTTGTTGGCAGTTTGCTGTAAAATAATCTTCTAAATCAATCATACATAGACCTGTTTTAATATATATATAATATATATATTAAGATATATATATATATTATATATATTATATATATATTATATATAATATATATATCTTATTCTTACATGTTCTGGATATTTTAGAAACATTGATAACACAATTCCATTTATTATTGTTTAAAAGTCACTGACTTGGAGAGGTGCATGGGAGGAGATGAAGGAGGGACGGTGAGATTGGGAGGGAATGAGGGAGGAGGCTACAGCTGAGATACAAAGCGAATAAAATATAATTAATGTAAAAAATAAAAATTAATTAAAAAAGTCACTGACACATAAGATAACTAAGTTTTACTGATTGTTGCTAAATTCAGAAATAGTACCATGTTTAAAAAACAAAACAACAAAACAACCAAAAGCATTTGCTATAACCAGCAGGAAGCATTTTGCAAATATTTTAAATAGTACTTTCCAAAGCAAAGCTGAAATATTACTTATTCAATTAATTCAGAAAAAGAAAACGTTATTCTAAGGATAGAGCACTGAAAACAAAATGAAAAAGAAGACATGCATTTGAAAGAGAGCATGGATGAGTATATGGGAGGGCTTGGAGGGAAGAAAGGAAAGGGAGAGATGAAGTAATTATAATTACAAACATTTTTTTAAAAATGGGGATAAAGGAGGAAATAAAATGAGAAAAGCTTTACCTGACTTCATGTTCCCAGAAAAGGAAATTCTAGAGATCCTAGACTTTTCAACAGTATTTCCTAAGCAATATACTGATTACCTAATCCATAATGATGAAGAAAGATATTCAAGTGTTAGCTCTCACAAAGCCTCTTTATGTTGACTAAGTTATCACTATTGCATATGTAGTTTTTACGTTAAGGAACAGTAAGGCCAAACCTGATGTTTAGTGACGAATGAAAACCATGATTCTCTACCCACTGGTCATTACTAATTGACAAGTGTGCTTCTAGGGCTCTAATACACTTCCTGTCTCAGGACCCAGGTGGGTAGTGCTTCGGCAGTGCCACCAATTCCAAGTGTTAACCGTGAGAAAAGCTCTTGCAGAATGCCCACACAGTACACATTGTTTTAAGAGCATAGCTTCTCTGACTCTCAAAGGTAGCCTTGCCTTCTGTAACACCTTCCTCTTTTTATGCAAACACACAAGCCCTTACATCCAGGCTTGTTTGGTAAAATAATGAATAGCACAAGGAAATCTGAAAGTTAAGATGCATCTCATTATGATCCCTTTATCTTCATCTTGACTTCTAACACAGTATCTCATGTGTGTATAAAACTCTCAGCCTACAGTATTGTTCACCTGACCTAACTCCTGGGCACCACAACTTGCTCTGAAAGGCAGCAGGCTTTGTTGAACATGATGAACACAATTTAAATGACCTTCAGATTTCTCAGTGTGCCTCAAGGCTTTATTATTGCCATCTTCTACTATACTAATCATGAAAGGATGTATATAATTTTATCTGGAGGCTTCTGGATCTCTTTTGCTGTTGCTGCTCCATCTCTTAATCACACCAGTAATAAGTTCTCCCCAGTCTCTACAAGCACACACAGCAAAAATTCACATTCAATGTGCTGTAGTACACTGAAGAATGACTCTCCAGGTCATGTGAGATAAAGGAAAATGTTGCTTTATGAAGAGTCTTCGCAGGTGAAATTGAGAATACTGACCTAAAGAGACCTGTCCTTATAAGGGTGGAAAGGCAGACCTGATACACATAGAAACAAAGATACTGTTTAAAAAGGCAACAACTATCATGATATAACCACACATCAAAAATGCTGGCAACTAACAGAGGCTCAAAGAAGCAAAGATGGATCATCTCCTAGGACCTTCAGTAGGAAGAGAGACTTGTCAGCACTTTCTTTCAGATTGATGATATTACTCAGGCTTCTGGCATCCCAACTAGAAAGAATAAATTTCTCCTGCTTTACACTAAAAGCATGGTAATCTGTCATAAAACCCACATGACACTGATACAGACAACAGTCATGATCCCATAGTCTATAGCTCTGCCATTTTGTTTCAGTAAAAAAATATCAGCATTTTCTGAACAAAACAGAACTCTAGACGTCAACCTAACATGTCCTTACATCTTACATCCAGCCCTTCAACAAAATTCTAGGTTTAGCGTTCTAGAGCTTCACATGTGCTTCTAACAGTGTAAGGTGGAGAAGGCAGGTATGGTATGGAAGCAATGAGAGCAGCTGCCTGCCCGAGGCACATTGACAGCCCTGGTTAGCTGAGTTACTTGCACAGCTTCTAGTCCTTGAGGCTCTGGTTTCCTATAGCTTTTCTATTAAGTCTAAAAAAATGCCTCAATATTAATTTGACCTCTTTAGTGCATATTTTGTAGATGGCAATTGCAATCAAACTCTCTTCCCCAAAGAAGCTAATTGCATCAATACTAAGTCAGCACAGTGTTACTTTCAGTCTTCCAAATGCCCTCAAGTTGTTCCAGCCCTTCAAATACCCCTGCAGGTGAGAATCATGGTAAGTTCTCATTAACCTACAACCAATCACAAGCGCTTTCTATTCTATTCTATATGGGGTTTTGAAGCTAGGGCTGTGTCCTTATATGAGAACAAATCACTTGAACACTCACCTTTGTAGGAGTCTCCAAATAAGATAGATGCTTTTTTCCTCATACTTCTCCACATTCTGGTTTCCCTGCTCGAAATTCCTCTTGTTTGTGATGAATCCCTACTTAAATCCACACTAGAAAATTGACCTTTTCCATCCTAGATACATTTGTTTCTGCCTCTGTAGCTCTCTTGCTAGTAAAACTGATATAGCCATTCAGAGCGCCTCCACTTCTGTGTTTAACCATGCAGGTGCCAGGGCCCACCTCAGAACTTGAGAGGTTTGAGGGGTTGTGATAGTCTGCCTTGCATTCCCAGAGTCTAGCAGATTATAAGAGGTAAATAACACATCATAAAAATTATTTTTAAAAAACTATTTAAGAAGCTGGGCGTGGTGGCACATACCTTTCATACCAGTACTCAGAGAAGCAGAGGCAGGCGAATCACTGTAAGTTCGAGGGCAGCCTTGTCTACAAAGCTGGTCCAGGACTACCAAGGCTATACAGAGAAACCTTGTTTCAAAAACCAAAACAAAACAAAAACCCACAACAAACAAAACACCAAAAACCTTTATAAGACTGTAAGAGTCAGTTTCACCTAATAGGGTAATATTCTTATACATAGGTTATGCTCACTATATATAAGTGTGAATAGAAAATTATATATTCCCTTAAAATGGGAGACTTTTTTATTATTATTATTATTGTTGTTGTTTTTTCCACAGAGACTGATACCCCAACTAAGGGCCATGCAGGAAGAGGACCTAAAACCCCTGCTCAGATGTAGCCCATAGACTCAATCTTCAAGTGGGTTCCCTAGTAAGGGGAGCAGGGGCTGTCTCTGGCATGAACTCAGTGGCAGGCTCTCTGATCACTTCCCCCTAGGGGGTGCAGCCTTGCCAGGCCACAGAGGAAGACAATGCAGCCAGTCCTGATGAGACCTGATAGGCTAGGATGTGATAGAAGCAGAGGGGGACCTCCCCTATCAGTGGACTGGGGGAAAGGCATAAGGGGGAGAAGAGGAGGGAGAGTGGGAGTAGGAGGAGAGGAGGCAGGGGGTCACAGCTGGAATACAAAGTGAATAAATTGTAATAAATAATAATAATCAATAAAAATTGCAAAAAAGGGACGTGATCACCAAAAATCAGAAACATCAGAAGGATTCATGACAGTTACTGGAGTTGGTAGATTTTAATGTGTGGACAGCCATTTTGATTGTAGCTCTTGGGCTTCCCAGACTTTTTAAAACTATGTTGAAATTCTCTCTTCTCCTCTCTCTTCCTCTTTCTCTACTCCCTTGTTCTCTCTTGTCCCCCTACCTCTGCAGGTTCTCTAGAACCTAGGAGTTGAATATGGGACTGAAGCCTTGCAAGGCAAGTGCTACCATCAAGCTGTAAGCTCAGCTCTTGAAATAACTTTAAATTAAAGTTAAAAAAATATTAGTTAATATAAAAAGTGCTCAAATATTTAGCAGATATAGAGAATATATTTATCTTAAAAATAGGGCAAGTAGTATTGGTTTTTAAGCTTTAAAAATTATACATACATTTATCTTGCAGTGTGTAAATGGTTCTCCAAGGTCTTAAACTGAAATCCAGTATATAAAATAGGATTAGGGCGAGATGAAGGAAAGAGATTACATGCCCCATGACACTTCTAGTACAGCAGGGCTCACAGGTAAACCTAAATCTCTTTCAGGAACCCTGAGTCTTTAAAACCCCATTTCCAAACCCCTTGGAATTGACAAGTATCTTATTTATATGATTAAATATAATTTACTTCACTACTTAGAAGAAAAAGGAAAATGTTAACCTCATAAGCTGGAAAAAGTGATAGATTCTAGACAAACATGGAACATTAGTCATTTATCCAGTAGGCAGATAAACCGAAGGTCTTCCATGTGCTTGACACTGCGTTAAATGCATGGAGTCACACAAACACATAACGGTATCGTGAAAAATAAAATTAGAACCCCCTACAACAAATCCAGTTAATTGTCTGATGATATTTTCTATCTCTGTGATAATAAAATAGGCTGACAGGAGAGGTATATGAAAAAAAAAAAAAACAGTTTAAAACGGGAAACCAGAGTATAAGTTACACAGAAGTAGAACACTGTGGGAGAAATGGCAGTTGAATGTGGAAACAGTTATGAAAACATAAGTTGTGAGCCTGTGCTCTCCACATAAACAAAGGCTCAGCCTCCTCCTCAGCTTCTATACAGCTGATCAGTACCTACTTTCTAGCTATTTCTAATTGCATCATTTTGTTTCCTCCCAACAAAAGCAATAGGTCATGGAAGCTCAGGTCGTTTCTTCATCTGTTCTCAGTGAGTGGAGCATTTTATGTTTCACCTAAAACTACCACGCAGGTAACCCTCATGGGTAGCATACTTACTACCACTCTTCTCAGAAATCTTCCTCACTCTATCCCTAATTTCCCAAAGCCAATAATTCTAATAATTGGTTTTGAGTTTTTTTCTATCACCCTACAAATTAGACATATCATAATTCTTATTAACTTTAAAAACAAGCAGTTCCGGTTCTAGCTCTAGTGCATTGACTCTGGCCTGACAACTATTCTCAGGCATTCCTCTGTACTGTTGTTCATAGGTGTTTTCAGTCTCATTGTCCTATGCTAACTGCATACTACCAGCAGCCTGGCAGTTCTGGTACATGCTCTGATTACTAGCTATCAGAGAGATAGTCCAAATCAGACATCTTACCATATTTGAGCATGTTGAGGGTTTTCTTTCTGACACTGAGGACAGAAATATGTCATCCTGCTGTTCTCCCCTAAGCGACACACAGTAATTTTGCAGTGACACTGACCACAGTTAGGACGCTTATAAACCTTATAGTGCTTAGAAATGGCAGATCCTTCTTTTTGGCACTAAAAAAAAAAAAAAAAAAAAAAAAAAGGAAAATAAATAAAATTATGATGTTATGTTCTAGACTGTTATTATAGGAAACAAAGATATATTCTGGAAATCAAGTCATCTCTGAAAATGTCAAAAAATTGTACATACTCTCATATAATAATTTTTCATCAAAGCAAAAGGTATTGACAAAATTCAGTAATGTCTATCAAATAAGGTTTGTATGAAATAATTGAGTCATTATGCTTTAACTTATTAGTATTCCAAACTGTTTCCAGCTTTATCCTCTTATCTAAATGATATATAAAAGTTCTGTATTTTAAAATGTCTTTTATGCTTTTAAGGCATTCTTAATTAAACATAATTACATGGTTGTAAGAAAAGGGCTAGATTAGCTTCAAATCTGATTGCTTTTAGAACAAGGAAGCTGCTCACTCAGTTTCAACGGCCAAAAATACTTATTTTTAGGGGATAAAATTTAACGAGAGCATTTTCTTTGTTGGCCTGATAAAGGACTTTTTTTTTTTTTAACTCTAGAGATTTGCTAGAAAAGAAAATAAAACCTCAAATACATCCTAACAGAGAATATGCTCTGTTTTGGTATAAGCTTCATTTCAAAGACATTTTATTTCTTCTGCTATAATTTTATTCTATACACATGTGTTTAAAGCACCTACAAAGATAATATTTTTCGTTTCCAACAGCAGTACAAAAAGGTAAAAACTCAGAAATATGACTATATATGGGTTGAAGCTACGTAAACAACATATATTAATTTAAGCAAGGTAGTGAAACACCCAATTTGATGTAGGCAGAATGGACTGTTTTCTATAGCCAATTTCCTCTGGAAGAATAAGTGGGCATGGGTCACTGTAAAATTGTCATTACTTCTGAAGGCAGTTAGGTACTGTAGGAAGTTCATTAACTCTCTATCTCTTTAGATCAATTAATGAAGACCGTTATAATACCTTCATCTCTGAGAACGGTAAAAACGTACATTTTGAATACAGAAAACAGATTGTGGTGGGAAAACAGGCTTAGTTATTATCCATTGTTTAAAAGATGAAGCACTTTTTCCTGAGGCTTGTATGAACATTACACAGCTTGCTAACTAACATGTTAGTGAGTACTTATGTCATCCATAGAACAGCTTTTGTTGTACATGCAGAAACATAATCTCATATTGCAGATTTTTACAAACCTAAACATCATCTAAACAACCTAAACAACACATAACCAATGGTAAAACCTGAATGAACCCAAGTCTATTTATCCTTAGAAAGTCTGTCTAAATGCTTTGTGTTTTCTATGTCTGAATACAACAATAATTTAAGGCAAAATAACAACAAAGCTGTTATCAAACTTAGCATAGCTATAACGAAATACATTCATAGTGAGGCAAGATGAGACTGACTTATGGCCTAAAATTTTAAGACACAAATTGTACCTGCCCTTCCCGTGCCACTCTAGCCCTCTTACCACTAGAGGGCTCCCTACTGCTTCAAGACCCTGGCAAAGGCAAAAGAGGCAACCACATGGTTGTATTACACATGGTTGAAAATCTTTGCTCTTACCCTGTAGAAGAGAATGCTGAAATCACGGATCATCTTCACAAGGTGATGGGTCTGTTTGTCTGACAGCTGACACACCTTAATAGAGAAATATAATTTCATAATTTACTCATGACTATAACAAAACCTCACCAGTTCTCTTAAACAGAATGACAGATTTAAAAATCCGGCACCTCTCCCAGTCCACTGAAAAGGGAGGTTCCCCCTCCCCTTCCCTCTGACCCTAGTCTATCAGGTCTCATGAGGAGTGGCTGTACTGTCTTCTTTTGTGGCCTGGTAAGGCTGTTTTCCTCTCTGGGGGAGGTGATCAAAGAACAGGCCAATCATTTCCTGTCAGAGACAGCCCCTGTCCCCATTACTATGGAGGCCACTTGAATACTGAACTGCCATAGGCCACCTCTGTGCAGGGGTTCCAGGCCATGTCCATGAATGGTCCTTGCACAAGTGGGGAAGAGGGAGGGTGGGATTGGGAGGAGAGGAGGAAGGAAGGTACGGGGGGATATAAACTGAATAAACTGTAATTAATAAAAATAAAAATAATAAAAAAAATCCGGCACATTCCCTCTCTTTACTGCGTTCTCATATTTGCCAGACAAGCCATCTTCCATGCCCTTGGTTCTGTTCTGAAAACATTCTCCAGAGAAGCCTAAGTGATCTTAAAAAGCTCATTTTTTTAAAAAGCTCATTATTTTAGTATTGCTGCATTAAACTAAGTTTTTCTCAGAGCTATAAAGCAGAAACTAACCTAAAATTATCATTAACTCGTTTCTTTTAAATTTTAATTTCTAATGATTTGGATTTTATCAAAACCAGCGAGAAACTATGTGCAAAACACAAAGAGGTACACGTGGACCTATATTAAAAAAGTTACTTAATATATTCTACTTAGTAGAAATAGTTGATACAGTTAGAATTTAGTTAGTAGTAACAAATCTGGATAGGAGCCTTAAATGCATTCTTCTTAGAAACAAATGGATTATTGCTGCCATTTCAGTCTCTCCCTTCTCTGTACCTTATTCAGCTAGTCACTATTCTTTAACATCTCTCTCTACTAATTCTGCCTCCTAGAAAAACAAGAGCTCAAGTCTCTTCAATTAGGGGAAAAAAAAATTCCATTCCTTATCCTAGTATCCCATTCTAGAAGTCTAATGCTTTTCTCTTCATGCCAATCTAAGCTAATTGAACAAGGCCTTTGAATTCTCTTTTGCTCCCTTCTCGTCCATTCTTTAGTGCCTGCTACCTGAATTCCATCCTTATCATTCACCGGAACAGTTTTTTTTTTCTATTGTCAACAGCTATAGATGAGAAGACATGCATGTGGTGAAGAGTATATATTTAATATGCCAGATAGAAAAAGTAAATGGTAAGCCTAATTCATTCATTCATACATTCCACAAATATCTCTCTATAGACAGAAACTCAGAATTTAGGAAACATCAATAAAGGGAACAAACTTACCCTCATTACAGGTGACATGCTAGCTAAAGGAGTCACTTTTTTTTAAAATAAAAAACAATTAAGTGTTAATGAGTAAAATACATTTAAAAGTAAAATCAATACATGTTTAGGGAAAATAAAACCAAAGAAAGCTAAGGACAATTGAGGGCAGGAAATGGGACACTGCAGAGCTGACACTTGAAGCCAAGAGTTAAAAGATAACTGGAATTTGGGGAGCAGTGGTTTTCAACCTTCCTGATGCTGCTACTCTAATACAGTTCTTCATGCTCTGATGACCCTCAACCATAAAATTATTTTCATTGCTACTTCACACAACTGTAATTTTGCCTCTTTTAAGAATCATAATGTAATATGTGTGCTTTCCAATGGCCTTAGGTGACTCCTGTAAAAAGGTCATTTGATCTCTGAAGGGGTCTCAACCCACTGGTTCAAAACCACTGCTGTATAGATATGTTGCTACAGCACAGGTTCCTGTTTCACATTGGATCCATATAGACCTTAAAAACAAGTTAGAGCTCCTGAGCAACAGAACCAAAAAAATCTGGACACAGGGGTCTTTTCTAAGACTGATACTCCAACCAAGGACCATTCATGTAGATAACCTAGAACCCCTCCACAAATGTAGCCCATGGTAGCTCAGTGTCCAAGTGGGTTCCCTAGTAATGGGAACAGGGACTGTCTCTGACATGAACTCAGTGGCTGGCTCTTTGATTACCTCCCCTTGAGGTGGGAACAGCCTCACCAGACCACAGAGGAAGACAATGCAGCCAGTCCTGATGAGACCTGATAGACTAGGGTCAGAGGGAAGGGTGGGGGGACCTCCCCTATCAGTGGACTGGGGGAGGGGGAGGAGAGGAGTAGACAGAGGGCAGGTGGGAGTGGATGAGGGAGAAGGCAAAAGCTGTGATACAAAGTGAATAAACTCAATTAATAAAAAATAAATTATTTTAAAAAAGTAAAAAATAAAATAAACAAGTTAGAAACAAATTTTAAAATGCTTATACCTTAACAGCTGGATGGAGACCACTGTCAAAGAGAGCTTCATTCTTGATGATGTTCCCTATGCCAGGCAACACTCTCTGATCCAGTAACACATCACATAGCATCCGATCTTTCTGCTTCTTAACTTCACTTTCTGCTCTTGAGAAACTAAACGTCGGTGAGCACACATCCAGTTCTTCCATCATTTTTATTCTCTGTTGGCTTTCCATTGAATTTCTATAGAAATATATATACAACACATTAACTTTAGGTCTGCCTTATAGTTTTGGAGGCTTTGATATAAATTCAAACACTTATCTATGTTATAGCATATGAGTTATTTGGGTGAACAGTATGGCCCTAATAACGGTAGTTGAAGGTCCCTTTACAATGATGTTTTATCGATTATAAACGTTTTATTATGCAACATGTGATGTCAAAACCAAACTGCGGATCCAGGCTCTGCTGTTTTGTAGCTAGAGTACTTGATACCATTATCAGAAACTTGCTTTACTAATCTTTATTCTCTTTGCTACAATTTCAGCATCTCTGCTAGTTCTTCTGTCACCAAACCCCCTGCCCCCCCCAAAAAAAAAGTTTAAGTCCAGCTGAAGAAAAATAAACAAAAACAAATCTACTCCTTGTCCTGGTATCTCGTTTTTATTTTATTTAATTTTTTATTAAAGAGTTAAAAAAATTTTTTTTCACCTGAGTTCTACTGAAGAGTCAAAGAAACAGATCAAGTCATTGGTGAGCTGCACTTCAAATGCTGGAGAAGCCCCACCTCTATTTTCACACTCGTGTGGGTTAATCAAAATGGAGCCTTTCATTCCAAAATGAATCCTGAAACAGAGCCAGGCAATTTTTGAGTAATAGAAGCATATCATGTATCACTTTATTTGCTTTTTAAAAATTATAAGCAAACCAACGTTTGCTTATAATAACCAATAGCTATTTTTAAAGAGGAAAAAAAAAACAGTAGATAAAATCACTTCCTAAAGAAACAGTGAGGTCTGAACCCTTAGCTTTCCTAAGTTGGATAAAATATCTTTGTTCACAGAAGAGTCTAGCATTTTCCCATATTTACTTATTCAAGAGCATAAGCCTAAAACTGGTCATAGTTTGTTTATATATTCTACAAAGCCCCTGACATTCAGATTCCTTGTTTTCGCCACAGTGAATTGGAAGATTTACCTACTGCAACCGAAGGTTTACAGGATAACATATGCTTCTCTTGCCCACTGTTTGAACTAAGCGTGAGACGTCTTCAGACACGCACGAGCACACACATACAAACCTGTACACACACAGATTTGTGAGAGACACAGATGGAAGGAGGATGAGTCAGAAAAGATACCTTGTACAATTCTTTCCATTTTCAGTTACTTTTACACATATTGGGAAAAGGGTACTTATAAATATTTACAGTTAACTTCAAAGCCACAATAGTGATGAAAAATTCATAACCTTTCAGATTTTGAAGAACTGATTAACCTGTCCAGTTAAAAAGAAGTGATTTTGTGAGACCTCTGATGAAGATCAAAAATTATTCTCAAGATGAAATACTGTGCTCTGCCTTTCAAATCTGTTTCCTTATAGCTTTGTTGAGTTAATAAATACGGTTCTTGTGGCAGGGAATGTTACTGCTATGTGCTTCTAATTCCAAAGTACTGTGTCACAGTATTGTACAAGGTTAACAAGCCTAACTTTTAAAATGTGGGTTTTAAACTCTGTGTGCCCCACTATCAATCATAAACAAATTTTACATGCCCCATAGTTCTTGACAGGAAAAATGTGTGCCTGTAAGTATTTCATAATTTAGCTTATGGAGGTTTAGCCCCAGTGAAAGGTGTACAACTGTCATGCCCAGAAGCCATCGTATCTAAAATCCTTTCAGCAGCATGGCTCATAAAGTGGATTCTAAATCACTTCCCATAATGAAACCACACCACATAAAAAACCTCAGAGGTTAAGACCCAAGTCAAACTCAGGAGTAGCACCAATAAGAACTAGAAACAAAGCAAGCACTCCTTTGTCTTGAAAATACATTCAATTTTGGGGGAACATGCACATAAAACAACTACTTTATCTATTATTAATTTGTGCTGATATTATTAAATTGCTAATTATGGTTGAGCTCCAATCCACAAACAAATGTTGCCTGTATTGTTACTTGCCTTTTACAGTAAGAATATATTGGCACCATAAAAATCTTTGAGGCAAGGCAGCATCCATGCTGTTCTAACAATCAACACTGAGATTTTATGCTCTATCTATCAGATTGTGAGCCCATATTACATTCAGGAAAGATATTTCAAGAGAAAGCCAGCATTGAAAAAAAAAAAATGGGTAAGGAGAAAACAGTTTTTTTTTTTTTTCTTTTCTTTTTTTTAGGTAGATAAGTTTGTAAGATGTGTAAAGGCCCAAAATACCAAACTAGAATAAAGAATGACAGGGCCAGGTGTGGTGGCATGTGCCTTTAATGCCAGCACTCAAGAGGCAGAGACAGGCAGATCTCTGTGAGTTTGGGGCTATCCTGGTCTATACAGTGAGTTCCAGACCAGCCAAGGCTACATGCCGACACCAGCTACAGCAGAACAACAACAACAACAGCTGGACCAAAAAAACAAAGCCACTCCCCCACCTTCAGAAGAACAGGAAGAAGGGTGCACAAAAATCACCCCATAGACAAACTCAGCCAGGAAGCAGTTTCACAGGTGTGGAGGCTCAGTGATATTTGTGAGCTCACCCCCCAACCCCAACCTTATCACTGGTGACAGAGGGGGTGCTGTGATGACTAATGTCCATCCCTGGAAGGATGTGTGGACGTGCTGGAAGGCAAGAAACATGTATGCAACAAGCTGTGTTAATTGCTCTATTCAAAAAAACAAAAAACAAACAAACAAAAGAAACAAACAAACAAAAAAAACAAAAACAAAACAAAAAAAATTGCTCTATTCAGTTCTGGAGTGTAACCCCAAACTGTGGCATATTCTGGGGAAGATATTCTATCCTTTATCCTTGAGCTACATCTTAGCCATTTTCTTTTAAAATTAATGTTGGTATAATATTCTTGTGGAATGTGTCCTTGTTCACTCAAATGCTGATTTCTCTACCCCACTATCTGGTTTCAATCTGGACATTGCATTGTGATGCTTATTCTTAGCATCATCTCTCTCAACATGCCACCATTTGTTCGCTGTAATTGTCAATTAAATAACCAGCCAATGCTGTGCAATGGAGAATAGGGTGGGACATCCTGGTCCGGAGAGAGAGAGGAAGCGAGCAGGAGTAAGAACAGAGAATCAGTAGGAGAGGACTTGGAACCACGTAGAGGTATGAACCAGACCTAAGATATCACTAAAAGCATATAAAATGGGTGAAATCTGAATGGTAGGAAACTATGCTGGCTTGGAGGTTTAGAATGGAGAAACTATTGCCCAGTATTGTGCTATAGGTTAATTAAATAAATCCCACTCTCTCTGTGTTGATTTGGGTATACAGCTGGTTTAGGACTAACTGCTGCTTAACTAAAAGATACATCAGCAGTAAATATTAATACCCACAACAAATTGATTTATTTATTGAGACAATATCACACTGAGTTGTTTAGGATGGCCTGGAACTTTTCATTCCTCCTGCCTCTGCATCCTGAGTGGCTGGGATCACAGATATCCACCAACAAGCCCAGTTATGACAATGCTTTTTGTTTCTAAAACATGCAAAATAAACCTGTCCTCGTGGTGCAATCACAGCACTGGGGTGGGAGGTTGGGGGTGAGATGGAGGCAGGAGGGTCAGAAGTTCGAGGCCACCCTCTACTATAAAGCAAGTTTGAAGCCAGCCTAGGCCTTTGATAACTGTGCCTCAAAGAAACCAACAAATCACTGTTTGATTACATGTATAATTTTTATGTCTTTATATATGATTCAAAATGTAGTATTTATGTTGGGCTTGGGATGAAGCTCAGTGGTGGAATGCTTACCTACCATTTGAGAAGTCACTGAGACCAACTGTCTGTTGTCTAAGTTTCCTCTGGGATTGAAATACTCCATCCTGCAGGGAAGCTCCTTAAGCAGAAGGTAAAAAGCTCAAAATGGCTCCAAGAAGTCCCTGAAACTGACTAGTTTCTCTAGGTCTCTCCCTGCCAGAGTAAGCAATAAAAGCTAAGTGCCCTCTCAGAGAGGCAAAGCCAAGCTGCAATGAAGACTCTTGAGACCAGAACAGTGGCCCCAAAGAAGCAGAAACCAGAAGAGCTGCCCATAAGAGGTTTAAACCAACTGAGGCACCTGGAAAGGACACTCTTGAACCTGCTGAGCAGCCTGCAGGCTGTGCAGTGGGCTCCAGGCTCCCAGATTTTCTGAGCTGTCACACATGCAAGAGTGGGCTTTGGAGATGCAGCTGTTTTTGAGTCATTTCTGCTCCTAAAAATAACCCATCATCCGTACTCCATGAGTAACCCCAATAAAACTCATTGGTTCACCAATTCGTATTTTGGTGGCATCCATACTTAATCTGTCTGTAATAGACTCCCTGTCTGGAGTGAGAGGACATGTGTATTGTATTTCTCCAGGAAATAAAATACATACAATACCTTTAGCATCACATATACACACAAATAAAAGTAGAAAACCTTCTGTGATTTGCGGAGTAGTGATTTGCGGAGAAAAGTGTGACTTCTGCATCTGGTCTGGGAAGGGATCTTTTACTTTACAAACATGCTGATATGTCCTGAACACTTACCATTTTGTTATTTAAATAACAGAGAACTATGAGCCAAAACCCTGAGTCCCTGGCTGGTCTCTCCTTCAGTTTTGCCAGAACTTCCCTTTAACCCTTAAAATTACACATATGGAGATAAGACTCACCTGATTTCTTCCTTAGAGGCTCTCTAGGCCTCCATGGCACCCTACATTGTTGGTCAGTGTTGCAGTTTGCCTGTGGGATAGACAAGCAAGACCTGCCTTTTCCTTGCTGTGCAGCTTCCTTGCTGTGGCTTAGCCTCTCTGAATTCACAAAACTAAAACAAGACAGAATGCTGTGTCTTCCAGTCCTAGAGGTGTACAGCAAACTGAGAGACAGGATGAGAAGCAAAAGGCTTAATTTTAATGAAGACGGGTTGAACACACAGAGGAAGCGGACAAGAAAGTGACAGGACCCAGGTATCTGAGGACGAGAAGGCCTTCAGGAATGTCTTCAACTTACAGAACCCCGAAAAGGCCCCACATAAACCTGGGGACTAGCCACGGTCTCTTAGACCTCAAGGTGATATGCCAATTGCATTTCAGCACCAGCTTCCTACATCTGCCTCAACTTCTCGGCCTCTTCTTTGTTTGGGGCTTCTTGCAGTGCCAGCACAAAGCCAGGCTTTAGTATTTTCCTGGGACACATTTGAATACACACCTAGCGACTTGTAGTTTGCCACAGTGCTAGAGCCAACTGGGTGGACTGAGTTGTGGCAGCCACACAGTGGGCCTGAAGTAACATACCCCACCCCTAAGGATGGGAGAGGTGTGTATGTGAACTCAACTGCCACATTTACTACCCTTAATCATTATGGGCCTCATGATGGTGGCTGCCCCAGGGGCGGGGCTGACTGTCATCTGTTAAATTCATGTGTTAAATCTGTTAAATGCTCTTTCCATTTACCAACACTGACTAGAGCCTTCCACTCCTTCCTCAATACTGTCAGCTGGCCACTCTCCACAATGCGTTTTTGTTTTTTATTTTGTTTTGTTTTGTTTTGTTTTCCTCCCTCACAATCTTGCACCCATTCACTATTTTTGCTGCTTCCGGATCAAATGTGAACGACTTACATAGACCTCCTGGGTTCACTTTTTAGCA